AGCCTGCTGATGACAAACATACAGATAGACTTAGTCCCTGTTAGAGGACTGCCAGGAGGAAGCCTGGCGCTTACTTAATACCCTCCAGGGGCTGAAACTAGGGTGAGGCAAGTGTGGCACTCACCTTGGGCATAAAGTTTAGGGGATGCATCAAAAACTCAGTAATCATGATAAAATATTATAATGCAAAATTTTTTTAAATAAAAAATAATGTCAAAAATCCATCATGAACAAAATGCTAACCTTTTTTAAATTTTATTGTTTAAGGTATTACAAATAGTAGTACATATGTCTCTTTTTATTTCCACTGACCTCTCCCCGGCCTCCCCTACCCGCCTGGCACTTGCCCTTGTCCCCTCGCCCCCAGTGTCTTGCACCTGTTGGTTGTGCTTATATGCGTGTATACAAGTCCTTCGGTTGATCTCTTACCCCCCCTGCCAGCAACCCTCCCCTACCTTCCCGCTGTAGTTTGACAGTCTGTTCGATGCTTCTTTGCCTCTGTCTATTTTTGTTCAACAGTTTGTAATGTCCTTTATTATCCACAAATGAGTGAGATCACCTTTTAAATAAAGGCAGGCCAGTAACCGTATCACACGGAGCTATATTGGAGCCTGATGCAAAAGGAAAAATCAATAATGTTGATCCTGATATGGACCTGGCTGTCTTCTTCCCTGCCAACACCTTGTCTGTGTGCCCCATGGCTGACTCAAAAATAATTAATAATAATAATAAATTTTTAAAAGCCAGGATGCAAGAGAACCATAGTTATACTCCAAATGGGACAACTTCCCTCAGCACACAGCTGAGCAGAGGAAATTAGAGGTGGAAGCTGGAGAAGCAACAGAAAGCACCCAGCACTGTGTGCTCATTCCACCACACTGGCCATGCCTGGTGGCCATAGCCATCTGCAGATGGCTCAAGGACAGCATTAGCTTCCTTCTCTTTCCCCTACTCCTTACAAGCTACACGGTCACTTTAAAACATTATAAGCACTAAGAAATATGGACTCCCTCACTAGTGTGAGCCTACTCTTGTGTGTGAGCATAGCATGATCAGGACCTGAGCATACATTCTGCAAATCTGATAATACCCCGTAGAGCCAGAATCTAAGCCAGACTATCAAGTGGAATACCATAGACAGTAGTTCCCAGGGAGGTTTGTACACCACCACCTCTGTGGAATGCCTTTTATTAATAGTTGCGTGTTTATTTTAATGCTAATAAAAAAAACCCTAGCACATCAGACATTGGATTTCACAGATGTTTAACTTAAATTTGTTTAAGTAAATAAAAGGAAATCTAGTTTTCAAACATACTAAGAAAATAATAGTTCCAGAGGGTAAAGGAGGGATAAATGTTGATGGATGACTTGACTTGGGGTGGTTAACATGCATACAATATACAGATGATGTAATAGAGAATTGTAACTCTAAAACCTAATAATTTTATTAACCAGTGTCACCCCAATAAATTCAATAAAAAGCAATAACAGTTAAAGCCGTATTTGATATGGCAAACACGTGAGATGGTGGGCAAGTAACTGAAGTTTGGGAAGGATGGCAGTGGCGTGTGGAGCTCAGATGTGTCCTGTAGTAGCTGTTTGACCAGTTGTGGGGGGCCGCCAATGAAACAGATAACAAATTAGCAGACTTCACGGTGATGTGAGAGAACTGGGGTCCCACACGATTGGTGCACAAGTGGCTACTCCTCCCAGCTGCGGAGCGGGCTCCTCCATGGAGGATGTGGGCTCATCCTCAGCAAATCCTCTTCTCCCCCATAGGTTAATGCAGGGCCCATGGCCTATGCACGAGCTTTTCTTGAAGAAACCAAAGCAAAGAAATACCCTGACAACCAAGTAAAGCTTCTGAAGGAAATCTTCAGGTAAGCTCTTCTTTGTGGAATGTTCTTCCTTGGGATCCTCCAGATGAGGAGTCTTGAATTGCCCAGGAAGCCACCTGGCCAACCTCCTTCTGGGTGGCAGAGCCTATCAGCAGCCTGGCTTTGAGTGGCCAGTCTCTGTGGCTGGTTGTTAATTTGCTTCTTGCTGTCGTTAAAGGCAATTTGCAGATGCGTGTGGGCAGGCCCTGGATGTGAATGAGCGCCTCATCAAGGAAGACCAGCTGGAGTACCAGGAAGAACTGCGGTCCCATTATAAGGACATGCTCAGCGAACTCTCCGTAATCATGAATGAGCAGGTGAGGCTTTCCTTGGGGTGGCCCGTGCTGTTCATTCATCCAAAGTGTCCGTTTTGACCCCAATGCCAGAAAGGGTCTCTTTTCTTGCTACTGATGTCGCTGTACCTTACCTGAGCACCATGCTGCTGACTTGTCCCCTCCCCCACGCACCAAGTCCCTTGCCTCAAAGCAGAGATCAGGTGAGAGAAAAAAGTCTGGAGAGAAAAAAGATGAGAACCCAGATGCTTTTCATAGTCTTCAGAGATGTTTAATCAAATCATATGAGCTGTTGGTTTTCTAGGACAGATGGGCCCTATTAGACATCAAGAAACATTGGGTAGCATTCCTGGTAGGGTTTGCTATCACTCCCTTTACCTCTGATTTTAAGACCTCTCACCTCCCCAGGCTGTGATGTGGAGTTCCACAGTTCTGCCACTAGGAGTCTCTGCACCATACACAGGAAGAACACCAGGACTAAGAAAGATGTGGCTTTTTAAAGTTAAGATTGCCTCTACAGAGGCAGGGCCTCCTATAGATGTGCAGAATTGGGATAAAACTCCATCCCCCACCCTACAAGCAAGTCATCCATGACTTCTGGCATCTGTCCAGCATATAAAGCTGTGTACAAAATGTGGACATTCAATATCACAGTACTTTTTGAGGTGCTGAGAGTCGGCCTTACACTCTACCTGACATCTCATCACTGTGGTCCCTTCCGGGAGTTAGATGTGTTCTTTACAGAATACTTAAGGGGGAGAACTTGAATTAATCTCCAAATAGTGCCTCATGCATAGTAGCCACTCATTAAATATTAGTTCCCTTCCTTTCCTTAAATGGTCTAGCACCATCCACACTACTCAGGAAACACAAAATGAATCCTATACTTCTTTTATTCTAATTGCTTTTCTCATATATGCTTCTTTTTTCTTATTTTCCATTTCCTTTTGCCCACATTTTAAATCCTCTATCAAAGCTGAAGAATGATGTGGTTAATTGACTTACGTTAGAGAGAATTAATCTCTCTGGGTAGGATTCTTAGAGGAGGGAGTATTGGTTTGGGATTCTTTAGAAGCTGGTGGGAATTAAATGTTCAGGAATGATGCTTTGATAACCTGGGGAACTCATAAATCTGGGAGTGAAACAGAAAGAACAATGGATCTGAAAGTTGAAAAAAGTAGTGAAGAAATGCTTGCTTCCAACTGTAAATTGCATCTGACCTTGAAACTTTGAGCAAAAATGCTTTTCTCTTTTTTCCCTGGCAGCTCTGTTGCAGTCCATGTTTATACAACTTCTGTTCCTCTGTGTCTAGTATTTCCCTCAGTACTGTAAGCAAAAGTGGTATGTTTTTCTTTCCTTATGTCTACTCTGTCTTTTGTGGCCTTCTGGTCTACCTATCACTTTCTAACTGTTCATTTTTCCCTGACAATCCATAGTGGCTAGTGTTCTAGCGGTTTTTTATTTAATTAAAACAATTTTATTTCCATTGAGAGGTAGGTGAATATGGGGGAGAGGGAGCCTACTAATTAAAGCTAAAATTAACAACTTGGCTTTTAAAAACAAAATTTATACTTTACCAACTTTTTAAAATATTTGAGCTCACTTGTATCCAAAATAAAGACTCACTATACTCTAAAGTGCTAAAACAAAAAGACAAAAAA